AGAATATAAATGTAAATCACATTTTTTTCATTTTAATCTCTCAATCTGATCATCGTCCCAAAATCATCATTTCATAAAACCTTTTGTTTTCTTTACATCTAGATCTACCTTTGAAGGAGTTTGCTAGCTAAGATTAGTGGCGGAGCTAATATGGAAGTTACTGGTTGTCCATGATACAAACCTAAGGAGTGGGATACCTGCATGTGACAAAGCTAAGGACAAAGCTAAGGTGGTGGGATACCTGCATGTGACAAAGTTACTGTGAGAGGTGGGATACCTGCATGTGACAAAGCTAAGGATTTTCTGGATTCAATTGGAGCAAAGTTCAAAGAGTCCGAGAAAGCTGAGATGGGTGGATTGATGACGACGCTGACCAGATTGAAATTTGATGAAGGCAAAGGTGTAAGGGAGCACATACTGAAGCTTGTTGACACTGCAACAAAATTGAAGGACTTGGAGGTCCCGGTTGATGATGCTTTTGTTGTTCATATGGCATTAACTTCTCTACCTCAATCCTTTGATCAACTGAAGATCACTTACAACACACAGAAGGAAAACTGGTCACTAGATGAACTAATTTCCATATGTGCTCAGGAGGAAGGCATGCTCAAATGAAACACCAACATTGGTGCTATGAACTTGGTGCACGAATCTCTGGAATCTACTGAAATGTGGGAGTAAGAAACTCTTATATGAATTCCATGTATGAATGTGTATATGTATTTACATGGTTGTCAGTACGACATTACAATTATGAAGTGATGGTTTAAGACTGAGTTGTTGTAATAAATATGCATGTGCTGAATGTTTATGATTATTCTGAGTTATATAGCTTATATATCACAAAGTGATATATGATTTTCAAGTCAGTAAAGGGAACTGTGATTATCCAAAGATGATCCATAAAGTTGATTGACTTGAATAATAGAAAAATGAATGTTGAAGGTCATTGAAAGTTTGACATCATACATATTAGATTCAAATGACAATGATTTTAGAGTGCATGTGCCAATGAGTTGCACATGGTTTTCTAGAGTTCGACATTTGAACTGATACTAGTAGATGTGGGGAAGCAAGTTACGTATAACTGGATGTGATCACTAAGGAGTTAATATTGTAATTATGATAACATTTCAATTAAATGATTAGTTTATGTCCAAGTAGGAGAATGTTAGAAACTTAATTGGACTAAACTATCATTTAGTGAAGGATGAAATGTGTTTGGTAACAATACAGTCTGACGTAAGTTGCAAACTTGGAAAAAAATTGCTTCCTATTATTAAGGAAATACGGAAAACAATTGTGGAGATAACTTACATCCCACTTATTTGATGAAACTGCTGTTAACCGACAAAAGCCAACTCTCCATGATAGAGGGAAGTTGGTGAATGTTGATCTATATAAGGACTCCCCGCTCGTAAAGAAAAGTTTTGCGTTATTGGGTTCTATCACCTTAAGAACATTAAGTCTTTCAACGAGTAGAAGATATCCTTTTTCTTGTTCTGCAATGGCTGCCTCTGTAAAAACTGGAAAGGAAATGGAGTTTGCAGAAGAATAATTTCTTACGTAATTGACTTGATATTCAATCATACAATGATACATGGCTTTATACAGCAAATGGAAGGCTACTCTAGGTAAATACATCCTAATTGTTTGCTAATTACATTACGATCCTATAATCACTCTAAATGAATAGTTGACTTATTTTCTTTCCTTTAACACTCCCCCTCAAGTTGGAGTGTGGATGTCAATAACACCCAACTTGTGAAGATGCGTTTGAAAGACGGCTTCCATTGTCGGCTTTGTGAATATGTCGGCAATTTGTTCTCCGGTTTGCACATATGCAGTTTTGATCTCTCTATTTTGAATTCTTTCACGTACTATATGACAATCCAACTCAATGTATTTGGTTCGTTCATGATATACTGGATTTGCAGGAATGTACAAGGCCGCTTGGTTGTCACAGAATAGTTTTGCAGGTTCAGGATGATTAACCCTTAAATCATGTAACAAATACCTTAGCCAAGTGAGTTCACATGTAGCAGCTGCCATGGACTGGTACTCCGCTTCAGCTGAGGACTTAGAAACAATTGCCTGTTTCTTGCTTTTCCAAGATACAAGTGCTTGTCCAAGGAATACACAATAACCTGTGACGAATCGTCGTGTAGTTGGACAACGAGCCCAATCTGCATCACAATAGCCGACCAAATTTAATTGGCCATGTGATGGAAAGAGTAATCCTTGACCTGGAGCTGCCTTTAAGTATTGAAGTAACCTGTGGACAGCATCGAGATAAGGCTTTATGGGTTGCTGCATGAATTGACTAAGGGTATTAACCGAATACGTGATTTCTGGTATTATGATAGTAAGGTAAATCAATTTCCCAACCAACCTGCGATAACGAGTTGGGTCCTTGAGAAGGTCACCATCGTTTGGATTCAACTTTAGTTCTGGATCCATAGGAAATTTGGCAGGCTTCACACCAAGTAAACTATTCTCTTCCAATATGTCCAATGTATATTTTCGTTGGCATATTGAAATCCCCGCCTTCGATCGTGCAACTTCAACCCCAAGGAAGTATTTCAATGGGCCAAGGTCTTTAATCCGAAAACAATTACTAAGAAATTTTTTAAGGTCACTGATTGCCTCTTCATTGTTCCATGTGATGATCATATCATCAACGTATAATAGTATCACTGTAAATGAATTTCCACGGACCTGAGTGAATAATGAATAGTCTTCCCGTGATTGCTGAAAGCCAATGTTTTGGATTGCAGATGAGAACTTGTGAAACCAACTTCTTGAGGCTTGCTTCAGTCCATACAAGGACTTGTTGAGTCGACAAACAACTCGCTCCCCCTGTCGACGATAACCAGGTGGAGGAAGCATGTAGACCTCCTCATGGAGATCCCCATGAAGAAAGGCGTTTTGGACGTCCATTTGGTAAATGCTCTAATGGCGAACAGCAGCAACCATCAAGAAACAACGGACGATGATGAGTTTGGCTATGGGGGCAAAAGTTTCTTTATAATCAATGCCTTCGCGTTGAGTGAATCCTTTAGCGATGAGGCGGGTTTTGTACCTTTCAACGGATCTGTCAGCTTGATATTTAATTTTGAACATCCATTTACAGCCAATGGAGTGATGGCCAGGAAGAAGATAAACCATGGTCCAAGTGTTGTTGGCTTCAAGAGCAAGAATTTCAGCCTGCATAGCTTCAATCCACTGCGGGTCTTGACTGGCCTGCTCATAAGACACTGGTTCCACCAAATGGGAAATATTGTGTACAAAGTGTTGATGAGCAGAAGACAAATTAGAGTAAGAGACATACCGATGGAACGGGTACCGCGTACCGGACGTGGCAGGGGAGATATTGCCGGGAGCAAGCAGAGAGGTATGGTGTGCTTGATAATGTTTAAAATGAGCGGGAGGTCGTGTGGGTCGACTAGATTGGCGAAGTGGGGGTTGGGGATTAAGGAGGGTGAACGGTGATGTTGGTGTGGTAGAGATGAGGGCATCATTAGGTTGTGAGGGTAGGGGTTGGTTGTGTGAGTGTATGGGATTGGTGGTTGGAGAATCTGGGAATGAAGAAGAATGAGGCGTGATTTCAATGGTATGGATAAGAGTAAGTGGGATGGAGGAATTGATGGGATGAATTGGGTCAACGGGTGATGGGGTAATGGTTTGTGGGCCGTGAGAAGTTTGGGATTGAGGTGATAAATGTGATGTGATGTTATCATAAGGAAGTGGCAAAGTGGGCTTATCAGTTTGAATTTCTGGTGGTGAGGTGGAGAATGGAAAAACATGCTCATGAAAAATTACATCCCGAGATGAGAAAATTTTCTTGGTATTGAGGTCATAAACCCGATAGCCTTTTTGACCAAGTGGGTAGCCAATAAAAACACATCGTTGTGCCCGGGAATCAAATTTGTGAGTGGGTGTGAGATTGGTTGCATAGCAGAGACACCCAAAAGTTCAAATATGAGAGTAATGAGGTGGTGTGCCATGTAATTTTTCATAGGGTGAGGTGTGCGAAAACAAGGGCGTAGGAAGACGATTTATAAGGTAACAAGCTGTTTGAAGACTTTCTCCCTAGAATTTTAAAGGAAAATTTGCTTGAAATTGAAGAGCTCGCCCCACATTCAAGAGGTGACGGTGTTTGCATTCCACAACTCCATTTTGTTGGGGTGTGTGGGGCAAGAGTGTTGAAAAACAGTACCACAGTCATTTAAAAATGAACGCATGAAGGTGAATTCTGCCCCATTATCAGCACGTAAGGCCTAAATGGTACAATTAAATTGGGTTTTGACCCAAGAGAAGAATGATTTCAATAAAGATTGTGTCTCAGACTTAAAAGACATAAGATGAATCCATGTGACACAAGAAAAATCGTCCACAATAGTTAAAAAATATCGTGCCCCAGAATGTGAAGTAACTTTGTGAGGCCCCCAAATATCACAATGGATTAAATGGAAAGATGCAATTGATTTTATTGAACTTGGAGAAAAAAAATAAACGAGTTTGTTTCGCTAAGGGACAAATATCACAAACATGCTTGGAATCAAAAAATATTTCTGGGATGGTTTTGGATAAGGCTTGGAGAGGTGCAATGGATGGATGTCCTAAGCGGTTGTGCCATGAACTTGAGGTACGGTTGACGCTATGCGATAGGTGTGGGTTTTGGCTTGGCTTGAGGTAGTATAGCCCATTATATTGCTTGCCCAGGCTAATCATCCTTCTCGTAGCCACGTCTTGTATAACACAAAAATCAGAAAAAAAAAATATCACGATACATTCCAATGCTTGAGTGAGTTTGCTAACGGATAACAAATTAACTCTAAACTTTGGTACATGAAGTACTCCATCAAGAATCAAATCAGAGGACAATTTGACGGATCCAATTGATTTGATTTCAGTTTGGCTCCCATCTGGTAATCCCACAAAATCATGTTGTGTGTCTGATGTATTATGTGTTGGAAATGATTTTGATATATGATATGTCACTCCACTATCCACAATCCAATATAATGTTGAATGTGAGTCATGATGAGTAATATTACAGGTTGGTGTGATTATACCTGTAGCATTGGCGAACGATTGGGTATTACCGTTTCCTTTTCGAAGCATGGCCATGATCTGATTGTATTCTTCCGTAGTGAATGTGGGTCCCTCGATAGGCATTGTTTTGACCGGCTGAGGTGGACTTGTCTGTGTATTATGAGCTGATGGTTTCTTGCCTTTTGGCTTCACATTCTTGCCATGAAATTTGTGGCCCACTGGAAAGCCATTGAGGTAAAAACAATCATCTACAAGGTGTCCTCCGTCACAGTAGCTGCACTTGAGCAGTTTCTTTGAGGACGTCGTTCCCTGAGTGGTGGTGGAACGGCTTGTCTGCATCGCATGATAGTTGCTTAAATTTTCACGCCGAGAGGCTACTTCGACTTGTCTCTCTTGCTGAAGGACCAAGGCATGGACCTTGCGTGTGTCAGGAAGTGGGCTCATCATCAAGATCAATCTACGAACGGTGGCGTAAGAGTCGTTCAATCCCATAAGGAATTGCATGACTCTTTCCTTTTCTTCTCGTTCAGCAAGTTGCTTTAGTCCTTCACAGGTGCAAGTGAGAGGATCGTGGGAGGAGGCTAGTTCATCCTAAAGCGCCTTCATCTTGGTGTAATAGGCAGAAACAGACTGTTGTCCTTTCGGTGTTTGACGATTTCTTGTCGAATTTGGTAAATCCTAGAGTCATTACCTTGTGAAAACCTGTCTTTGAGATCATTCCAAACGCCAGCTGCCGTGTCGGTACAGAGAATGCTGCCAGCAATGTCCGAGTGGACTGAATTCACTATCCAAAGCAACATCATGTCATTGCATCGCTTCCAAGTAGCGTATTTTGCCTCTGTGGGTTTTGGGTTTATGATGGATCCATCGATCAACCCGATCTTATTCTTTGCGCTAAGACCAATGCGCATGGCACAGCTCTATTGTTCGTAATTATGTCCGTCAAGAGGTTTTGAGACCAAGATGAGTCCCGGATTATCCGAGTGGTGCAAAGTGAGTGGGTCTGAGATGTCAATTGACACCTCTGTGAATTTCGTCTCACTTTCACCCATCTGGTTTTGTTTGCAGCGGAAGGTGTGGTTGGGTTCCTAGAGGCACCAAGATCGGTGCTCTGGTACCATGTAAAAACTGGAAGGGAAATGGAGTTTGCAGATGAATAATTTCTTACCTAATTGACTTGATATTCAATCATACAATGATACATGGCTTTATACAGCAAAGGGAAGGCTACTCTAGGTAAATACATCCTGATTGTTTGCTAATTACATTACGATCCTATAGTCACTCTAAATGAATAGTTGACTTATTTTCTTTCCTTTAACAGCCTCAGGTATCATGTTAACATCTGTTAGTAATCTAAGAAACTTGTTAATATTATATACTCCTAGTTTCCCAACATATCTATATTAAAATAAAGGGAGAAGGATTTAAACACGGAACTTCGGGTGCAATGATGAATGCTCTTAACCAACTGAGCTACAAGTCACATGCAAATGACACATGTTTTCAACTCGCTAAACTTTGTAGTTAAAACTTATTAGTGATCGGTTTGGTAAGCTATAAACTGGTCCTTCTCACTAATCTCGGGCTGATGTCACACACAGCCAAGCAGTTGAGTATCTTGTTACCGTTCGTGCCTCGCTGTTTTATGTCCTCCACCATTGCCTCCCATGAATCTCAGCCACTCGGCGAACATCCGAATCATGCACATAATGTATGATCTCATGTGGAAGCAAAGCATCAGCCCTAATCTTGGACTTACAACTCGCTTTCACCTCCTTCGAGTACGTTTCTACTACATAGTCATCCTCCGGCGAAATTTCCCCTTCAACCTCATTGATGAGCCAGTCTCGAACTCTGTCGGCGTAACGTGCTTCTCCTGAGAAAGGCTTCCTAGCAATGCTTTCACACAGCAAAGCAGTATGGATGTCACGGTCGCATTCATCCTCGCTTATTCACATATTCTCATCATCGTCATTAATATCATCATATTTCTTTTGCTCCTTCATCAATTTCGGTTTCTGCTCAATATTATCATCGGACTTCTTCAAGTACTTGACGAAAGTATCTGAAACTTGGTCATGTAACAACTGATAACTGGGGTCATGCTCGCACCTCTTAACCGTGCAACATTAATATTATCTTTTGTCTTGGCAACCATTAAATTATCCAAAGGATTTCTAGGCAGCTGTTGTTTGATCATTGTGGAGGAGGAGTGGAGGACCAGCAAGAGTTGCATAAGTATGAGCCGCCCGCGGCGCCAATCTTCTGGCGATCAGTTGTGAAGCTCCACTAATGTTCTTGACATGGTGGTTCTTGTTTGCTTCACAACTGACAGGATTTAGACTTCACCGATGCTTTAATTCAGTACAAGAAGTAGGAACTAGGGTTCAGGAGGAGAAGGACGAGGAGCCTGCACGCCCTACTTTAATACAGGAGGCGGAGCTAGCTGATCCCCCTGTGTTAGGGCCAGTATCCTTTAGGAATGCATTGTACAAACAAACGTTATAATTTTCAATGTAACTATACATTTGCACGTGATGCTATAATTTCACACGTATTATAATACGTGTTACAATACTAATCATGTTGTACACTTACGCTTTGGTTGACTCGTAGCCGTCCCAATAGGATCAGTCATTCGAAGTATGAGTTTCATTTTCTGATTGTAATTAATAGTGAATTTCAATTATTGTATCTTTCCCATAGGTTACGATTTAGTGAACTGATTTTCACACATCTTTATTAGCTCTTTATTTCTGACTACCAAATTGAATGTATCATGGAAAAAACAGTGGACGTGATTAAACAAGGAAGTCTGAGAAGCTAAAAAGTGTATTTATAATTTCATTTTGAATTAGTTACAATTCAAATGGCAAGTAACTTGTAATTCAGTTGGTTAAAATTACTCGCCCATACACTCGAAACCTGTGTCCCAATTCGCCTCCCCATAGTTTAGATGAACATACTATTTCGTATTTAATGTATATTTCCTTATCGTTTGTAAAAAGAATTACGGTTCAATTGAAACCAACAACATGTCGTGTATAAATATTTGTACTGGGGTGGGGTCCCAAACGATAGAAAGAGAAGAATGGAAATATTTACCAGCATCGTCTTTCCCACTTCTTCGTCGGCCGTATTATCAAACATGAGCAATTATTACCCTTTCCTGTCTTAAACCCCTCTTACCAAACAAACAAAAACCCTCTCTCAGAGAGATTTTTCAATGTAATCGGCACACGAGACGATACACCGTGTGTCACTATACAAATAATAAAATATGTGTGTTAAAAATTTAATAACTTAACAAATAAAATTTCTTACCACTTATCTAAAAACACATGCTATACTGTTTAAAAATTTCTCCCTCCCTCGCAACACTCCACAGTCCACTCGCCCCGCCTTCCGTCTTCCCGCCATTTTCTCCGCCGCAAACCGCCCAAATTCTCGCCTGGGAACGAAACCGTAGCTCCAGTCTCTCATACTCAGACCGGCGGGTTCGTCATCTGAGCTTCGGCGGCCTCCGATGGTGACCTCCAGAGACGTCCAGGAGATTGTCTCCAAGCCTTCCTCCGATAAAGTCAAGACTCGAGAAGTGTCTATTTTTTACTCTCTCTTTTTCTCTCACCCATTTGTCTTTACCATCTGTTTGGTCGCCGGGAAAATGCAGTCATACGAAATGAAAATGGAATTGTTTAAACGGGTAGTAATTGCTTTCAGGAATCTGAAGAACTGTATGACTTAATAGCCAAGAGGATCGTCTGTTCTGATTAGTTATGATGATTCAATTTGTAGAAAAATATTTGAAGTTTTTGAAAGTTGAACAGAAGCTTAATGTCCGCTTGATTTCCCAAAAGTTAGCTTAAACTCGGAGTTCAATCGGGTTGAAAGGTTGTTTCGGCTCCGAATGCCCGAAAGTCTTCTGAAATTTTATGTTCAATAGTGTTTCTGAATTGCAGAGTTGTCTATGCTATTGCGTTCTTGCTGCCAAACACAGTAGTACTTCTCCGTTTTGAGGAAATTGTTGTATGATTAAAGTTTTTGAATACATGGTTAGAAGGAGAAAGATCGATTGGTTTCTGTAAATATCTCGGAAGGAACACTGCAGAGCTTAAACCAGATGAAAGTCCTCACGATATTATGATGATTTTATTCAAGATTAATCGCAAAGTTTGTAGTAAAACACATATAATCGTTACAATAGTGGAGTGAACTGCTTGTATTGTTATTGCAGCCTAGACCTGGCCTTTCTTTATTAATCTGTTGATTCAGTGTGCTTCGTTGGAGATATCCTCCTCAAGCAAGCGGCGATTGCCCAAGTTGATATATGCAAAGACTCTACGGATAGTTGTGCAACAAGCAGAGGATGATAAGTTTTCAGGTATTAAAAGCGGTCAGCGGATTAAGCTTTGATGTAGTGCAAGTCGTTACCTGGTTAAACAGTCTACATCTAATTATGCTTATGCTTGTTTTCATCATCCTTTCAGGCAAGCGGTTGCCCTTGTTAGCTGTGGTTAAAAATCTTTTTAATCATATATGTGAGGTCTTACATAATGATAATGTCCCAAGCTTTCAATCGGAATGTGGGATTATTCTCCGGCATCTATTAGCTGTCAGAGACTATCGATTTCAGATGAAGAGGCACACCTATTGCAGTGAGTAAATGATTTGAACAAATAACCTCAAGCTAATATCTCTTCCCACTGTCGTTATTCAGTTTGTCTTAATTATCTTACTCTGCATTGATAAGGCCTAGTACAGAAGTACATGGAGAAGGTAGACGAAAACTCGAGCTAATTTAATCCCGAGGAGGAGGTTTTTCGCTGCGTTCTTACTCTCCATTCACTTTTGGAGAATCCTCCTGGAGATTTCCCACCGAGTCTTAGGGAAGAGATTGTTGAGCATTTTGTCAAAAAAATTTCTCGCATTAGGTAACCCTCCCATCTTCCCCCTGCCCCCCGGCGATTTGGCATTTCCATTTCTATATTCATGATGGAGTACATGATGTTTTCTCATCTTGCATCTTGCCCAGGGAAGAAGGAAAGATTTCACACAAACTTGTGGACTGTATTAATACACTTTTGTTGAAAAATGGCCCAAATTTGGGTTCTGAATCCTTGGGGATCCATAATGCTGTGCAGCAATTTGTTCCGGTGTTGGCTGACAACCCATGATCGAGCCCATAAGTTTTCTTAATAACGCATTTCAAAGCAATTTTGGCAGTTTATATGTATTTTTGAGTATCCTGAATTCCTAATTTTGCTTGCATTTGTACTTATATATACATATATATATATATGAAGCTTTTAAGAGAAGGGATCCCCATTTTTCAAAAAAAATGAGGACATCCTCTTAACCGTTAGATTTGACTTTAATAAAATCCTGTAGTTGAGATTCTGTGGCTTGTGATTTAATCTCAGCCATAGAATTTCATTAAAGTCAAATCTAATGGTCAAGAGGGTGTCCACATTTTTTTTGAAAAAATGGGAATCCCTTCCCTTAAAGAGCCTGTATATATATGAGTAAATTGTCGATTTACTCCCTGAACTTCCACTTAGCTTTTGATTTCCCCCCTGAACTTTTCTATTGGAAAATGAAGGACTCAAACTAATTTTTTTAGCCAATTTGCCCCATACCATTAGTTTTTCATATATTCCATCCATATTTCTGTTAAGTGAGACGATGTGCACAACATGTGAGGGTAATTAAGTCATTTCACTCTTAAAAATGATTAAAAAACTGAAAATAAATAAAAAAACAAAACATTCCCTCTATTTTTTCCCGCTAATTCCTATCCTCAATTTTATTTTTCCTTTTCATTCCTATGCATGAGAAATGACATATGGTGTTATTGTCTTTATAAGTAGCTAAGTTAGTCTTTTTCTTAAAGCATGTACTACTGTTTTTATTTTCTCTAACAAATTAATAATTTGACAAATGCTCATGGTGTTATTGTCTCAAAAGCAGTGCATTATATATAAGAAATATGTTCATAATACTAATAAAAAAATGCTCAAGATAATTACATACTTTCATAATATCATAATAATCCCATACAATTCCACAAAATGATCATTAAGAAGTTAGAAGTTTACACTGGTAAACTTTTGTTTCATGGCAGCTTGAAGAAGCAAAGCTTCTGCGTGGCCAAGGTCAGCATGAGATGGCCTTCAATGGAGTCTCACTTTTTTCGTTTTTTTAATCTTCTCTTAAATAAATGTTTCAGTAGCCTGTTTTGCTCTCGGTACAAGTACTTATTTCTTGTTTTTCTCACACACATATATATATATATATATATATATATTTTTTTTTTTTTTTTCAAATAAATTTACAGGTAATGGAACAATTTTTTTGGTTTCGTCAACACCTTTCTACAGAACCACAAGGATACATGGAAAAGAAGATTAGGAGTGCGTACATACAAGGTATCTTCTTCAACACTAATTTCATATCACGTCATTGTAAAGCTGAAGGTTGATATTTAATTTGGTGGAAAAGAATTCACCAGCGTTCTTTCTTTGGATGATTGTTATAGTGCAATGAGGAATTAGTTCCCTTGATTGTTTTGCATTTTCTTGAACATTTACAGTTTGAAATTTCCGTTACGAAATGCATGTTATCAGGTTTGTGTCATGTATCTTTAATTAGTGTGAAAATTGCATTATTGATTCCGACTGGATATGCATCTCTTTGTTAGAATATTTTTTTTCCTAACAATGATCTTTATCGTTTAGTTCTTTTTACCTATTGAAATGTCACAATTTTCTTGATGAAATAGGTGGTTCCATTTTTACTCCAAGTACCGGTGTTCTTGAATGGGTTAATGGCACTCTTCCTCTTGGAGAATATCTTATAGGAAAGTAATGGGTACCTTCTTTTAAAGCCAACATGAAGATTTACAACGATCGAATAATTTGGTTGTTCTAATTTTCTTTTTTTCAAATTTCAGCACGAGAAATAGAAGGGCCCATGGTCACCATGGAGTGGGGGACTGGTCATTTCTCAAATGCCGAGAACATATGGCAAATGTAAGTACATATTCTTAAAATTTTGTAACGATTGGAAGTTTATTGTGAGTGAAGAAAACCAAATCAAAAGAGCATCATTGAGAAGGACGATTGCTCTCCTGTTTACTAAACATGGAAAATTTGTAAATTTCTTTTAGAGACAGATGTATGTCTGGATACCAAATTAGTACTCTCATTCAAAAGCAGATGCTCACCTTTAAACAAACTTATATAAATGCTTTGGTTTTCGGCAGGGAAAGGACAAGCGCAAGGCATTCAAGGAAGTTTGTGGGAAGTTCAGGTATATCATTTCTCTGGGTGAACAGCTAGTTTTTCAAATATTAAGCCGGTGAGCCTCTTAATTCCAAATAAAAACCTCATGCAGGCCTGGCGAGGTTTTTGCAACCGGCTGACTGGTTTGAGTAGAGACTTTCATACACACGAAGTGTTGCTGCTAGTTCAATGGTAAGTGATTTATACTCATTCTGTGGCAATTGGTGTTGAGTATGGTCTGTAATAATTTTGAAAACCGTGCTCCATATTCAGGTTGGTTATATCGTTGGCCTCAGAGATCGACATTCTATGAATATCTTAACTGAAAAAACGACTGCAGAAGTTGTTCATATAGATCTTGGCATTGCCTTTGAACAAGGCTTGATACTCAAAACACCAGAACGGGTTTGTACTTTGTGATTATTTTTTCCCTGCTAAGCTTGTTTTCCTAGCTTACTGACATAAATACTTCAAAGTTCTTATATTAAACCGATATTTACATATTCCAGTCAGACTTACAAGGGACATCATTGATGGCATGGGTGTCACCGGAGTGGAAGGGGTTTTCAGAAGATGCTGTGAAGAAACTCTTTCTGTTATGAGGACAAATAAAGAAGCACTACTAACCATTGTTGAGGTATGTTACTCGAGTCAATTTCTCTAATTAATAACCAAAATTCGCAGCTTCTCACTTCTCTCGATATCTGATGGGTTTTCGATGCAGGTTCTTATCCATGATCCACTTTATAAGTGGGCTTTATCACCTCTGAAAGCTTTGCAGCGTCAAAAGGAAATTGAAACTTAGTAGTCTGTATACATTCAGCATATGCATATCCAATCTAAGTCCAGGACTAAGGGGGTGGAATAAATTGGAGGGATCACAAAATATCAAACGTTTAATGCAACCAGCCATCTCAGTTGACGTTCTTAAATTGTTTCACCAGTAGCTGTTCGTTATTGCTTACACTGAATACATTTCTTTTTCTTGGTTAGGAAACGGATGATGACGAGAATTTAAGGTTTGAAGGCTCTCAAGATGAATATGAAGGTAACAAGGATGCTGCACGCGTGCACTGATGCGTGTAAAACAAAAACTCGATGGATATGAAGAAGGGGAAAAGCGAAGCATACATGGACAGGTAGTTCTCGTGCGCCACAGTTTCATCAATGTACCTATAATATGGAACAAGTAGCACCAATGAAATTTAGTTGAAGATTATATCTTAGCTTCGGATATCTGTATTAAGAGAAACCCGACTTTGCAGGTTCAACAACTTATACAAGATGCGATTGATCCCAAGCGTCTTTGTCAACTGTTTCCTGGATGGGGAGCATGGTTATGATGATTTGATTTCCTTCGTCATCTTAGTTCCAAAAACTTTGAATCCTCTTTGTACAGGCGGCTTTTGAATGTATTTCGTTTTGCAGCCGTGGGGCAAAAATGCCTAATTACTCCGATGAAAGTATATACCCATTTCCTTTTTTCACCTTTATGAACTTAAAAAAGTAATTTTCTTTTTCAAATCGAGAACAATTTACATGTTATAGGCATGCTATTATGTGACATTTCATTCCAATAAAATAAAAATATGTAACCAAAAAATTTGCATGTTTTTATTTTATTACCACGAGTCATAACATTTTTCAAGAGGCTAATTTTACACTAGACATCCGGATTGTTTGACTTTTTCTCTTTTTTCAGTGCCTTTGACCCAAAAAGGATCAAACTGTCATGACCAAAAAACTGGATGGAAGTGCCAGCTTGGCGGATTTACTCGCGAGTACAACTCTAGTGGTTCAGCTTGAATCCTTGTTCGACCCATGGAGATAGAGACGAGGACCTTAATTTATGCCCATGGCTTCGCCTCCAAGTCCAACCCTTTCTATCTTTCACTTACACAAAACAATCTTGTGTTGATTAGGGGATGTTTGAGATTGATTATTAGAGCGTTAGAATCATATTTAAATTGTTCCGTAAAATTTTAAAAGTTTATAATTGGGAGTAAAATCATTGACATATAAATGAACTGAGAGATGATTCTCTTTAAAAGTAATTTCTTAGAAAAGAAAACCGATAATTAGAGATGGTTCTCCTTAAAAGTAAATTCCTCTGCACATTTTTATTTATTTATTTCTAATTTTTATATGAAAATTTTTATTTGAACCCATACAATATTTTTCTACACTCAACTTACTCTTTACACCCATATTATTTTTAGTTAAAGAATCAATCTCTCTTTGAACCGAAATTTACTATCTAAACTACCCTCACAAACTCAATTCAATATATAAAAATTCATCTTTACACCCATTTAGAAAATAAAATCCCAAATGAGTGAATGAAGAATTAAGATGTTGTCATGCCAACCAATTGTTATAGATGAATTGATCAACAACATCAATTGTTTTTTGAACTTTTGCGACCTTGGTTTGGAGTGCAAGGTTGTTTGGAAATGATCTTTGCCAAGCTCTTAATAGAGTAGTCCAAGTAGCTAGCCTGAATGTGACTTGTGGAATTGAGTGATGAATTTGTAATTCAAGATTAAACATTATGAGAAATAACTCATGTATTTTATTTCTTAGTGAATAAGAAATTACAACAGGTTTATATACAACTAAAAATAGCTTAGTAACTAATTACACCTAGTTAACTCACTAATATAGTAATTAGTTACATGGACAGTTGTAACAAACTTGTAACAAAAAATACAACCAACTATTTATGTGCCTCTTTACACCCCCTCAAGTTGAACAGAGGAGGGTCGAGTGAAAGCTTGGATTGAAGATATTGGAACCGAGCTTTGGAAAGAGATTTGGTGTGGATATCAGCAACTTGGTGCTGAGTATTGAGATATTGCACTCAGAGCAACTTGGCAAGAACTAATTCACGAATGTAATGGTAATCAATTTCCATGTGCTTTTGTGCGAGCATGAAAGACTGGATTTGAGGCCAGAGAAATTGCAGAAACATTGTCACACGAGTGGGAATGGTAGTGAGTTAAAAAGCAACATCTCTGAAAATTTTACACACCCATGTGAGTTCAGCTGCTGTGTGCGCAAGAGATCTATATTCGACCTCTGTAGAAGATCGAGCAACTGTATGTTGCTTTTTGGCACTCCAACTAATCAAGTTTCTACCCAAATATGTACAATAACCACTCTTAGACCTTCGATCAAACACACAACCTTCCCAATCTGCCTCAGAGTAAACTTTAAGATGCAAGGAACTCTTCTTAAACCACATTCCTTGATTAAATGTACCTTTTAAGAACCATAATATCCTTTTGACAGCTTGAAAGTGCGAATCACATAGACAGTAATTGGTAGACTTGATTCACTGCAAAGGAAAGGTCAGGTCTTGTCCAAGTGAGATACTGTAGTGCCCCTACGATAGATCTGTATTCTTTAGGATCAGCCAAAAGCACTTCAACATGATTAAGCTTCTGAGTTCCCAAATGAGTAACACAAGGTTTACAACCTTCCATGTTTGTCTTGACTAAGAGATCTAAAGCATATTTGATTTGAGACAAGAAAATGCCCTCATTGGATATGTGAACTTCTAAGCCAAGAAAATAGTGTAATGGTCCCAAATCTTTAACTGGAAATAAGGAACTAAGCTGCTGAATAAAGTATTGACATAGAAAGGTATTGGGACTAGTTGCCAATATATCATCCACATATACAAGGACTGTCACAATGAATGGTTTAAGCTTCACAAACAGAGAGCAATCAGATTGAGCATTTGTGAAACCAAGAGATTCCAGAGTTTGAAATAGTTTGTCATACCATTCCTTAGGAGCTTGCTTCAATCCATAGAGGGATTTGTTGAGTTTACAAACATATGAAGGTTTGAAGGGATCACAGAAACTTAAGGGTTGTTGCATAAAGACGTCTTCCTGGAGATTACCATGGAGAAAAGCATTGTTGATGTCAAGTTGGTTTAAAAACCAATCATATTGCACTGTAAATGTAAGGAGAATTCAAATAGTAACAGGTTTGGCAACTGGACTGAAAATCTCTTTGAAATTAATATTTCTTGTAATGAAAGCCCTTATCAACAAGATGGGCTTTGTAACGATCAATGGAGCCATCAGGTTTCCTTTTGATCTTGAAAACCTATTTGCAGCCTACCAGGTTTTGATGGGGAGATGAGGGTACAAGAGTCCAAGTGCCTGTGGATTTGAGAGCTTGAAAATTTTCAAGCATGACTTTATTCCAGTGATCATACTTGAAGGCTTGCAAATAAGTGGTAGGCACAAATGAACTGGAATCAATAAGATGTTTTGTAGCTGCTAACACTTTAGGCTTGAAAATTCCTGCTTTAGACCTAGTAATCATTGGATGAGTGTTTGTGGGAACTGAAACTGGTTCAGAAAATTGGAGAAGTATGATGCTCCTGAGAAGTAGAGTCTTGAGGTTGCTATGAGACTAATGATGTTGATGAGTTGTCCCAAAAAAAGCCTGGACTTTGTCCCTGAGATGAATGACACACTTTTTTTATGAAAGTTGCCTCGGCCACAATTATTGCCCTAGAAATTGTTGCGATTGTTGTAGTTAGAATGTTGGACAACATATGCCTGTGAAGGAAGCAATGTAGGTAAGAGACCTTGCTGGAGAGGTGGAGCTTGAGCAGCAAATGCTCAAAATGGTTATGTGAGAGAATATGAATGAGCTTTCTTCTTCCGATGCATGAAAAGCTCTTTGTTCATGAGTAAGCCATGAAGTTCATCTAAGGAAGTAAATGAAATTCGAAGCATTATAGAATCAATGAAGGATTCATAATCATCTGAGAGACCATTTAGAGTGATAGCAATGAGATCTTGTTCTGATACCGGGGCTCTGGTAACCATAAAAGCATCAAAGATGCCTTTGGTACGTTGCAGATAATCAGAAAGTGACATATCTACTTTCTAAATCACATGAAGACGCGATTAGAGCTGATGAATGTGTGCCGTCGAGACTCTACCAAATCTTTGTTCAAGAACCTGCTATAATTCTCGAGAGGAAGTGACCCCGACGGTGAATGGAATGAGATCTTCAGAGAGGGTTGAATTCAACCAGATGAGGATATTTTGATCCTTTTTCAAACTAGATCTCAAAATCAGGATTATGAACTGCAGTACTTGCACCATATTGATCAAGAAGAAAGGGCAGTGGACATTTCTCTGATCCATCGATGATGCCTGTAAATTTGTATCGCCGGAAGATTAGAGTGAAAAGAGCTTTCCAGGCCAGATAATTGTCCCTCTTAAGCTTTGTAGGAACCATACAATTTATGTTTTGGAACTCCGACTATTGTCACTTCGGCCAACACTCAAGATTTATTAGCATAAGAGATCCATTAATACAACTAATCACTTAGTCCAATACTTATTTTTTCTATTTGGCCTAAATAAATAAAACTGAAAAGTTCAAATTATAAAATCAGGCAAATAAATTTGAGAAGGATAGAGATTTTAGAGAGAAATGGATGAGAAAGAGAAATAGGGAGGAGACCTTGGGTGAACAGGTGATTGACGACTTTGTTGGGGGAGTACCTTATTGCAGTTTTTCACAATTTCCTTCAAGCCCTGTATCAACAATTAAAAACCAGATAAACATGACATGACTTAAGGACACTTGTGACATTCCACATCGTTCAGGGGTGAGGATCATATAAGCCTTATATGTATATTCTCATCTCTACCTAGCACGAGGCCTTTTGGAAGCTCACTGGCTTCGGGTTCCGTAGGAACTCCGAAGTTAAGCGAGTAGCACGCAAGAGCAATCCCATGATGGATGACCCACTGGGAAGTTCTCATCTGAGTTCCCCGAAACAAAACTGTGAGGACATGGTCGAGACCCAAAACGGACAATATCGTGCTACGGTGGAGTCGAACTCGAGATCTGGTGGGGGCCTGGGTCGGGATGTGACAACACAAATCAGAACAAAAAATAACCTAATTTTGGGACAAACCTGAGTGGTAGGCAAAGCTCTTATTTATTTATTATTTATTATTTATTTTATCTAATGCCAAGCTACTGATATATGAGGGTGTGAGACTTGTGAGATACGATCTAAATTACTTTTTTCAACAATGAGTAATTTTTTGAGCAATGAGTAATACTCTTTCGCACTATTACAAAATCTCTAAACAAAGGAAGAAATGAAAGTGGATATAGCTATACTATACATCAAAAAACCAAAACAAAATCCCAGCTTGATTCCCCGTCTTATCCTAAATATAGTTGGCTTCAAATTATATTACTTTTACACACAATATATAAGAACATCAAATTATAATCATTGATATCACAACT